ATGGCCGAAAGCAGCGCGCTTCAGCTGCCGTCACGGCAGGGTGAGTGAGGGCAGCGCGGGCATCCGCTTGCCAGCCAGCCGGCCTGTGCCAGACACCTCACACTTCATGGCTCACATCCAACAGTGGGTACATGAGTCAACTTGAGGGGGGAAGGCTGTACAGCATCACTTCTTAAAAATTTATACTTTTAATTTAAACTCCAAAAATGAGAAAAGTTATTGCTAAAAATTTTAGGAGTTAGATTTAGTATCTGAGTTTCAATTATTTAAAATACTGAAGTATAGAAGAATATCTGAAAATCACCTATTTTTTCCTTGTTTCTTAAGATTCTACTCAAAGTGGGAAATACAGGGCTGATTTGTTTCAACGATAATTAAAAGGACTATGCTTTTTATAGGATTTTAAGTTAAGACAAAGCACAGTTTTTATCAATTTTGTGACCGTATCCCAAGTCTGAGTGATGAGGCCCCGAGGGGCTGACCCCAGAGCAGTTCAGCTGCTGAAAGATGAACATCGACCGCGATGTTACTTTTCCCCCCCCCCGAGTAATTTTGGATGTGTGACGCTGTGCTCCTGTGGAGTAGGCTGGAATGCGGTCGCTGTGAGATCGGAGGCTTTTTTTTTTTAATTGTGATCTGTCAGAGAAAATACAGGACAAATTAAAGTAATATTTAGCTTTCTGCGAGAGTTTAAATATTGGCTTTTTGACATTTGACATCTGAATTATTTTGCTATTCTAAAACACCTCATATAGTGAGTGAATGTGAGTTTTAAAGGAATGGTGAAATATTTTGATCTTCACATCGTGTTAACCCAGGATAATGCTGTATGATCAGCAGTTGCACCCATGCCTTTTGTTTAATCTAAATTTTTCCTGCGGAAGGCTTGTGTTTCAGTTTGGTGTACATTGATCTCTCAGCGGCCTCCTGGAGTGTCGGGAGGTTTAACTTTGAGATAGATTGGAGCGGTGCCGTGTAGATAAGGTGGATTCTCATTCGTCCACATACTAGTTAAAAAAACCCTGACTGATCTTTTCTTGATTAACCAGGAGAATACGTGTTTGCCCCTTATTGTTGGTCTGACCCATTATTTTACTGAGAACCATTAGCTATTTAAAACTTGGTACATAAATTAAAGAGGAGCTAAATGGATTTGTGACGTTGCCATTAGTAGCATTTTAGATTATTCAGGCAATTATCGTGTTCATTATCCTGGAGCAGCCCCTTCGCAGAGCCGTTGTGGTGTCTTAGACATTATGCACAAATTTTCCCTTGGAGATTAAAATTTCCAGTAGCGTATTTAATTTTGTTACCACAGTCGTTTGAAATAAAACAAATATTATGACAAGTAGAAGAAAATTTGCTTTTACTAATATAGGAAATTACAATAAATGTTGAAAATTACTTCCTTGTGTACTTAATTTACCTTTTCTTATACAGTCGTAATTACTTAAAGTGATTAATAGCACATTTTACGGGTGAGAAGATTTTGCAATCATAGCGAGAAGTATCTGGTCTATTCGGGTGTTTTAGGAACTTTCTTCGAAGGAAGAGGGTCACATCAAAACTCAGGTTGACATCTTCTTTGTGGATGTGGATCTTCAGCTTTACAATTAGCTCGTTTTTATATTGAATGGTTTTTAAGAGTCCAAATTGCATTTTAGATAAGTTGAGGAAACTTTTCGAGAAACGAGTATAAAAAGATTACTTATTAAAAGTGGACTTTTTTTTAAGTTGAATCACGTCCTTTCTTCTTCCTGTGTTCTGTCAGAATTGACCGAAAACCCTGTGGCCATGCCATGCACTGTAGCCTGGGTGCAGTTACATTCCAAGAACAGGCACAGTTGAGACAGGATGCCTGAAAGAATGCAGGGGACCGGCCATTACGGAAAAGCTGCGTTTAACTCCAGTGACCTCTGCCGCATTCCCGTAGATCAGACGCGGGCGTGAGGAGCCGGGGCTCAGCTGGCCCCAGACATTTTGTTCTCTCGGCAAGGTATTAATGCTTTGCGTGACCTGCCTGTCAGTGTGCAGTGGGCTGCCTTTAGAGTTGCCTCCCTATATGTGGCATTTTTTCAAAGGAAACTGTACCCATTTCTGGCTGCCTTTGTCCCAGCTTTTAGTTGTCCGCTCGCCGTGGAGCAGCAGAAAGTGTGAGGTGGTGGCTACGCACTTTGCAAGACAGTGGTTCTTCATTTTGTTACCAAAAAAAGACCAACTCGAAGGCCAGATTAAATCATTCCTTTCAGTTTTTAATGGGATTTGGATGAATAGAGTAAAATATGCACTTTGCATTCATTGATAGCATCTTTAGGTTGAGGTAATTGAGTCTTTTCTCCCTGACTGAATGAGTAATGACTTCATCTGACCCTCGGCGAGGCCTGAAACTTAGTCTGCCTTTGTCACAGCGAAAGGATCTGGGCTTTGAAACATGCTCTGCTTCCCTGGCTTAATTTTTCTTCATTCTAATCCAAAAACCTATTTTTCTCAATAATTCAAGCATAAACTATGTAGTAGCCGAAGTAGTGGAGATCGCAGGGTGCTTTCTTCGCCGTGCTGCTCTTGGAGTGGAGCTGATGAATCGGGGCTGTGGCCCCAGCTGCCTGGCTTTCAAGGGGAGCGCGGCCCCTACGCGGCGGTACTGCTGGGAGTTTCCAGAACCAGTCCCTGGGTCCCGTCCAGCCTCTTGGCCGTCCGGGGAGACAGCAGGCTTTGCTGCTTCTGCTGCAGTCCCTGGAGGTGGCGAGCGCAGAGGCGCTCCCGTTGACCCCGTTTCCTCCGTGCGCCTTGGCTGGGAGGAGAGTCCCAGGAGGACCGTGTGCTGTCCGGCAGCCCTGAGGACCTGCAAAGACTGGCTGGAAGAGGGCCTCATCTACCGTCATGCTAAATTTGAGCAGATACTCTGTGTGAACCGATAGCTGGGTTTAGTTTACAGTCTCCTTACTTAGGAGTCTGCATGGTAAATGGCCAGACGGGACCACATTTCACAGGCCTGAGGCTTTCTTCCCCTGGTCTGGCCTGCGTAGTGAGAGGGTGCGGTGGGGCCTGAGGAGGTCCCTCTGGATCCCCAGGGCCTTTGCAGGGGGCCCAGCAGCTCCCGGCCCACATGCAGACCCTGCAGTGTACTGCTCGCTGTGGAAATAGCAGCCACACCCCAGACAGATGTCACCTGCCATTGCTTCAGGTCTCTGTTCCTGTGCTGCTTTGAATGCCCATCGGTGTCACCGACAGCCACGTTGATTGTGTCCCATAAGGAGTGACCATCTATAAACTTCTCTATTATAGCATGTATTTACTGGTGCTCATCTTATTTCTCCTACTAGATTGGCTGCTGCTTACAGGTCAAATCCCATAGTTTACTCATTTTTCATAAACTTAAGAGTTTAGCAAAAAAATATACTAGACATTTACATTTATTTGTTTAATGAGTGAATTTTCTTCACAGCTTCATGGATTTCGTGTTCTCTTAACTACAGGCCCTAATGTTCTCACTAGAGTTTGTGGCAGTATTAATCAAAAGCAGATATAAACTAAACGAATGAGATCTGGACAAGGCTAGCGTTTTACTGGCCTCAAAAGGCATAGAATAAATGAAGTGATCAGTTAGCTGTGTAGTTCCCAGACTTCTCAGTCTGAGAACCGCAGTTCCTGAGCTTTAACCACGTTTGACAGTTGTGTTCTGTTCAGTACTCTCTTGGAGTCGGGGGCCACTCAGATGGCAGGCGGATGGCCACCTGATAGGCCTCTGCCTTCTGAGCGTCACGTCTTGAATGAGCAGTGCTGTGGGGTGTGCCCTGGCCGAGGGGGCGCAGTGGCAGTGAGCTACGGTGTGCCCAGGACCCCGTGGGAGCCCGCCTTGTGTGGGCCTCTCCAGGCCCCTCTTGGTAGGTGGGTAGTGCCAGCCCACAGATGAGGAAAGGGAGGCTTCACGAGTGTAAGGCTCTTTCCCCCGGGCCCCACAGTTAGGAGGCAGAAATTCAGACCCAGTTTGTAAGGCCAGTGGCGAGAATGACAGGAGCACATGGCCTCCTCGGTACCGGTGCGTCTGACCAAGTCCCGCTGGGACACTGGCCCAGCCCCGTAGCGCAGACAGAGGGACTGACACTCCGCTCGCCAAGGCTGCCCGGCCCTGGGAGAGCTTGCCTTGGAGCCAGCCCGTGTGCGCAGCCCCAGGCGGCCTCGCTGCAGGGCCCAGGAGCGCAGCCCTCCCACCACAGGCCACCCTGCACTGTGGTCATCCAGCAGGGAGACTGAGCAGGGCGCCTGGTCGCAGGGACGCTGGAGCTCGAGGTCGGAGTCGTGTGTTTCAGGCGTGTGGAGCCAGAGCCCTTCCTTCTCTCTGCTCCCTGGATCCCTGTGGCGGCAACACCGAGGGAACCAGCTTTTGCTGACGTCATGTTCCCTCCCGTTTTGCCCAGCTAGGAAGTGACCCACCGATGAATGGGTGCCATATGCCCCACGGGGAGGGCCTGCCTGTAGGATTCGTGTAGGTCCAAAAGGTCTCCGTTACAAGCTAACTCCTTTTCTGTCGCTTTCCTTAATGAAGAGGTTCTCTTCAGAGAGGCACGTGGCAGTCAGAGGCGACACACGCACTGGCCTGTCCACGGGCCTCCATCCAAATGAAACCCTTCGGCGGGGCTGCGCCCGACACACGCACGCAGAGGAGAGAGCGCCCCCCAGGGGACCGGACCAGTGCCCGTGTCCGCGTGAGCCTCGTCCTGGAGGCTGCCACGCGTGGTCCGCGGCGGGGAGGCCCGGGGCCTCGGGGGGTGGGCGCTCCGGCCTTCCGCCTCTCGCTAGACCCCTTCTGAGAGGCGCCGCGGCCCAAGGCTCACCTTCCCAGCTTCTGCCCGGGTCTCAGGGCTTTTCAGGAGGGGAGGGAAGACGTGTTCGTGTATCATCGTAACGAGGGCTGATACAGAGGATGTCACTCACCGTGTGCTCGTGTTTGTGACTTCAGGGACACACAGTTATGTCCTGACTTTGTGTTTTTCTTTCAGGTTGGTTTGTTGGACCTTGAACTCAATCAGCTGACCAAGGCGCTGTTTTTGGCCTTAGTTGCCCTCTCGGTCGTCATGGTGACCGTACAGGGCTTTGCGGGCCCGTGGTACCGCAGCCTTTCCCGGTTCCTGCTGCTCTTCTCCTACATCATTCCTATAAGGTGGGTTTAAGAGAGAAGGTGAGACAAAGGGCCAGTTTCTTCTAATATGAGCTTGTTGAGATTTCTCTCTCTCAGTGTGAAAGAAATGATCTGCACGTAGAGGTCACAGCCAAGAACTTTGATGAATCATGAGGAATTCTTCTCCAGGAAATAGTGATTTGGGGAGGCAATTCAGTTTTGTCAAGATAATTTATAAATACACTTTTCCTTATATAAACATATTAATAACAATCTTCAACAATTGGGAGATTTTTCTTTTTTTTTTTTCTTTAGAATCACATATATTGATCCACAATTTGGATCTGGGAATTGGGAGATTTTTTAAACATGGATCTGAGTCCAACAAAATATTTTTTGTCAATTGCTGATAGACATTTGATAATATATTAGGAACATAATCTTCAACAATTGGGAGATTTTTTTAAACATGGACCTGAGTTCAACAAAATATTTTTTGTCAGTTGCTGATAGATTGTCATTTCTAGTGCCTTTGATCTGTACACAGTCACTGGCACTCAGTTATCTATGTTTCAAAGACCATCTAATTTCTCTGTGAAGTTCTATGAAGTATTAAGGCAGTCTTTTAATATGATTTTTCAAAATGATAACCCATCTAATGGAGATTGGGATATAAAGTTAATACTAGATGTCTGCTTAAAGACTAATATTCACAGTATACATTTAAAAATACTTTAAAATTTAAAAATATTCCACAAAGGATATTTTTTAAAAGACATCCTGAATACTACCACTGAAAATTCTCATGCAAATGAGCAATTAAAAGCTGATCAGTCATGCATAAACTGAAGCTAGACTCAGGGGCTTGGGGCAGGGAGGGGACCAGGGAGCTGGGGGGGCAGTGGGGGGGCGCCCACACCCTGGACGGGAGGGCCCCCAGCCCGCACAGCACCTGCACACTGTGCTGTGCCAGTGGGACCCTCTGCAGGTGGCCAGCAGCAGCCGCTCGGTGTTGGGCAGAGGGCCTATGTCCTTGTCCCCTGGGGACAGTCTCGGGGGTGCCCTGCCCACCGCCCGGTGCATGGCTGGCTTGCCTGGCTCACAGCGCAGAACAAGTGGTGGGCGCTGCTGTGGGGGAATTGGATTCACTGCCGGCGCAGACCCTCACCCCCTCTGCTGACCCCGGAGCCTGCTCTCTGCCCAGCGAGTTGCAGCGCAGAGGCCCACCCACCGCCTCAGCGCCCCCATGTTCCCTCTCCACACACTGCAGCCAGGCCGACCCCGCCGGGTGTCCAGCGCGCCGCTGGCCGGTCCTCGTTCCCTGCGTGTCCCCCGGCCACCGGTGCTCCGGTCACGTTTTTCCCTCTCGCCCTCACCAGCGGCGCGAGGGCAGGGCCTGTGCTGGGGCTCCTCACCCCCTGGGGGTGTCCTCACATCCTCACACTTATCCCACAGACATGTGCCAGGTGCTGAGTGCCACATGCGGGCTCTGGGACATCATCTTGGTGGCCGGAGACTCGGCAGGTGGCGGCAGACAGTGTGGCCGTGCTTACTAGTCACGCCCGAAGGTCCCCGTTCAGACGTGGGGCCCATGGGGTGGCTCCCAGGCTGCGCTCAGCCGCCTGCGGGTACAGGTCCCCCTTCCTCTCCTCTTCCTTCTCTGGGCCCCTGGCCAGGCCGCCGTGCGGGTGCAGTGACAGGCCAGGCCCGTGTCACCGGCTGCCAGTCACCGTGCCGACCCGTGTTTGCCAGGCCTCGATAGTGTGACTCCGGGCCTGGTGCAGGTCACTGTGCGCTGGGCTCCTTTTATCTGAAAGCAGCTCTTGAAACTGCCCTTGCCTCATTCTCGCCATTCAGTCACCCAGTCCTGCAGGCCTTACCCGCTGTCCGGGTGCCATCCACACGGGCTCCCAGGCCCCAATTTTGGCCACTTTAAATCCAGGGCCTACACGCAGGCCTTGCGACAAGTGAGCCTGTAACGCCCCGTGGAAGGAAAAGGCCGCATGTCCAGCCCAGCACCCAAGTCCCTTCTGTCAGCCGGGGGCGCTGCAGCGCCGTCCACAGGCTGGGACGCTCGCTCCACGGGGGCCCCTCCTCCTGCGGCCCCACGGCCCCTCAGGAGCCCCGCCCTGGCCGCGTGTCCGCAGGGACCCGCAGGGCACGCGCTCGCTGCTGGCCGCTCTGCTGTCGCTCCGAAACGCCAACGGAAGGCTTCTGCGCCCATATTTATCAAGCAAACACGTTTTCGTGGGAATTCCCAAGCGTTTTTTCATTGCTTTCCTCAGTTTTGTTTCTTTTCATTTCAGTTGCTTTGTGGGTTCAAATGCTCGCTGCATGACTGCTGCTGTCGCACAGGCAGGCCTAGTGAGAACTCTGTTCGTTCTTTTTTTCAGGGCACGTCTGCTTTTGATCAGTAGAAACCATTGAACAATATCCAGATTTTTATACTTCCTTAAATGAAATATTTTATTTCTATGAACTGTCTTCAGTTTCTTTCTTTCTTCATTAAAATAACAACATAAATAAAGAGATTGACACTTTTTCACTATCAAATTGACAGGAAAAATCAATTGTAGTTATGAAAGCTAATATAAGCATTTTTAAACTAAAACCAATTTTCATCATTTTTCTAATTTCGATTATCTGTGTTTATAGTAAAATATTAGGTAATACCTAATAACGAGAAGGAAGTATTATTTACAATCTAAGTTTGGCAAGTTCTTTAAAGCCTTTCAGATGTGTGTACACATTCAGCCTTATAAATATGAATGTGCATATTTATCTTTGTGTAAATATACCAGCGTTCACACACGCATCCTTTTTTTAGTCTGTATATCTTTTTAAAACGTCTGCCTACAAAATTAGGAAGGTGCCATGCTTTCTGCAAATCTGTCTTGTTCTGTTTCTCAGCCAACAATTTTATATTTAACACAGTCCGCCAACTTTACAGACATTTATTGGGCAGAATCATAACTGCACCTCCATTTACTTCCAAAATACCTTATGCCTACTTCAGCTGAATACCTGCCTCATTTTCCATGGTCTGAGATTGCAATTAGAGACTTCGAGCAGGTGAAAACTGTGAAATGTGAAAAATGTAGGACACTGATTTAGGGCATTAAGGTCCACATTTTATTTAACCAAGGTAGTTGTCCTTTTGCAAAGTTTCCATAAAAATGAATGACAGTACATTTTAGCATTTGCTAAATATGCTTTTGAATTTAAGAAAGGGTAGGTGTTAAAATACTTTTTAGTTTTGCAGTGTGCATTTCTGGAAAGTGCCTTTTCTTCTACTGACCTAACACTGTTAAAAGGCTTTTCAATTTTAGGAAAGTTAAGCTGTTTTGTAGAAATTCTTTATAGAATAAAATATTTCTGAGTCACCTGGTACATTTTGTCATTCAAGGAAAATATTACAAGTAGCTTACATATAACTGACACTTGTTTCTAGATGGTTTTATCAGTCCTAACAAAGAAGCCAGCGATGGGGCACCTGGTGCGTCAGAGCTGTGCGGCCGGGGGCGCGGTCACCGGCTCTGTCCTTGTGCCTCTTGTGCCCATGCTCTTCAAAGTGCCGCCTGACATGCCAGCTGGAATCCATCCCAAGAGGCCGTCTCAGTGTGAGGGCAGAGGGATTTTGGTCCTCGCATGAGGCATTCCGGGGCAGCAGGCAAAATGGTGTTTGACAGTGGAAACGGCATCCCTTCTGAGAAACATGGAAGAACCTCCTTGTCTAACACACTAAAGCTGATGGGCGCTGTGGTTTGGAAGGCAGGGTTTTCCTCGCATCACACGTCGGGCAGCCAAGCCAGGGAGCGGAGGAGGCTTGCCAGTGAGATGCTCACACTCATTCTGCCAGCCGCCCGCCTGCAGGAACACACGGGGCCTGCTCGGAGCACCGCTCTTCCAGCAGACGGGGGATGGGGTATTGAAAGTGGCAGGTGACACAGTTCCAAGATTTGCTTCGGCATTTGGAAGTTAACTTTCCTGACGGTTTATTGAGGGAAAACTCAAGTTACTTACAGGTCAGGTACCCTTTCTGTGATGCTTTAAAAGTTGTGTTGACCTGTGACATACTTTGTAAGTCATCATTTTCCAGGTAGAATGCTTGGGGAGCAGAATGTGTTCAGCCTTAGACCTAGGAATGAAATTCAGGTATTAATGATTTGGGCAATTAGCAGCCTATCCAGATTGCAAAAGATGCCAACATTGGAAGAGTCTTTGGAAAGCATACACAGGAGAGAAAACCAAGGCTGTGGCTGGGCAGTGTTTTGCTGAAGTGATTAGGTGTGTGATGTATTGATGCTCCACCGTCTCAGCACAAGCCAGGAATAGACGGGGTTATCTAGGAGAGGTCTGTGGAGGAGCCTCTGTCTGGTGGTGAGGACCCCCGGGCATACACAGAACCCACAGAGATCCTGAGAATGTATCAAGGGGAAACCCTGCAGGCTTGAACTGGGAGGAACGGACAGGACAGAATGAGAGAAGCCTGTTACACCCCCAAATCGAGGCAGGGAGAGGGCTGATAGAGCTGCCCAGCTGCAGGTGTGGCTGTCCTTGGGCACCAGGAGCATGGCTGAGGCCAGAGCGTGGAGGGGCGCTCCAGCTGGGGGCCTGTAGAACCTGTCCTGCCAGGCAGCCTGCAGTTACTTCTGGGTTCTGGGTGTTAGTTCTTTTTGGTTCCATGATTTGCTGATAGTCTTTCCCAATTTGTAGCTTAAATTATATTCACCCAGTGGTGAAATTATGCAAAGAGAAGTTGTTGATTTCAGGTAGTCAAATTTATAAATCTTCCGCTGTTGGTTATCCCTCTCTGTACATATTTAGGAAATCTTCTCTAGTCCAGAATGGTGAAGCTGTCCTGTAGTAACTTCCACAAGCTCATCAGGTTCATCTTGACCATGGGAAACGCTGTCGTCTTTTCTTATGGTGTGAAGTCCGATGTTCACGTACTGATTTCCATACAGGTTATCCTCTCGTTCTTTACAGAAAAGACTGGCCAGTGATCCAGCCCCGCTGTCTTGGCCACCATACACCAGGTG